TCCTATTGGTTCTAATTCTTCCTTACATCAGTAATGTGAAAATATGTTTAATAGGAATATATATGTGTAGCTTATATCACGTTGTGAACCGTCTTGGGGAGGGAGGCAAGGAGGAAGGAAGAGAAAAATTTAAAACTCGAAAGCTTGTGGAAGTGATTATTGATAAATAAAAATAAATTAATAAAGAAAACTCAGATCATGACTCACTTTCTCTGATTGACTCCAGCCCATATTGACCTGCTTTTCTGTAGGTAGGTAGATAGACAGATAGATAGATAGACAGACAGATAGACAGATAGACTATAGATAAATGCTATAATCTTGCATTTTCTCCCCCAGATGTTTCATGTATTGAGGCCTTCTAGGTTCCTCAAGGGCATAGACTATGTCTTCCACTTTCTTGGCTGTGTCTAACACGGTGCACATAGAAGGTACTCAAGCAGTGCTTGAGGAATGAATAATATGAGATGGAATGTTATTCTGAAACATAATACTATCCCTTAATTCATGCCCAGCATCCATCTTCATCTTTGGACAGCTATTCCTAAGAGAGTCTACAACTTCTTGTCTCATTGTTAACTGAGAGACTGTGTGGTAAGGTGAATAAAAAGAACATGGGACTTTGGTTCAAATCCTGACTCTGTCTGATACTTTCCATGTGACCATAGATAAGCCTCTGAACCTCAGTTGCCTCATTTGTGAGATGGGAATAATAATATTTACATTACCTACCTCACAGTATTGTAAGTAAAGTTCTCTATAAACCTTATAAAGCTTTTTAAAGTGTGAGTTATGAATAGTGGGAGCAGCGAGGTGGCACAGTGGATAGAGTGCCAGACCTAGAATCAAGAAGACCTGAGTTCAAATCCAGCCTCAGACACTGTGTGACCCTGGGCAAGTCACTTAATTGCTTCAGTTTCCTCATCTGTAAAATGAGCTGTAGAAGGAAATGGCAAACCACTCCAGTATCTTTGCCAAGAAAACCACAAATAAGGTCATGAAGAGTCAGACATGACTGAACAACAACAACAAATATTAATAGTAATAGAAGAATGATAAATCGCCTTCAGCCCACCTCCTATTTCCACATAGGTATATTCTCTTACAAGAGTATTAAGATTTCTTAACCAGAGTCTGAGGCTTGATGTCTTCATAGCCTTCAAGATACAAACCTTCAGCACCATTGGATGTACACACTACAATTCTGTTTTGTAACTTTTAGACATTTAGCTCTTACTTCATAGCTCCAAAGGTACGAATCTCTCATAATGAGCAATTCCCCCCCCCCCCCATGGCAGCTAGGTGGTGCAGTGGACAGACTGCTGGTCCTAGAGTCAGGAAAACCTGAGTTCAAATCTCACCTCAAACATTTACTAGCTGTGTGACCCTGGGCAAGTCACTTTACCTTTATCTGCCTCAGTTTGCTCATCTGTAAAATGGGGATAATAATAGCACCCACTTCCTAGGAATTTTGTGAGAAAAAAATGAAATGATGTTTTAAAAAACCCTTTGCAAATGTTAAAGCACCATATAAATGCTAGTTATCACCATCACCATCCTTATTCTCACTAGCAGGGCTTTGTTTACGTCCAAACTGAGTAAAACTAAACTATACCTCTTAGTTGTGATCCCTATGCATAAAGGGAGGAAAAAAGGTCTTGTCAGTTTTCTTCCCTTCTTAGATCTTTAAGTGGCTCCCAATTGATGTACTTCCCTCTGGCTTTTCTTTTTCTTTTCTGCTTTAGAGGAAAGAAGGCAGTGTGGTACAGTGGAAATTGCTCTAGCTCTTGAGCTAGAGGACCTGGGTTCAAATCTTACTCCTAATTCTTACTACCTCTATGACCTTGAGCAAGTTAATCTCTCCGAATCCAGTTTTCTCATCTGTAACATGAAATGGTTGGACTAGATGGTCTCTGAGGTCCCTTACTTCTAGGTCAATGATTCTCTGTTCATCCACAAGGCCTCTTTCCTTTCCTGGGCTTGGTTGTTTGTTTTGTAGGGGGGAGATGATATTGAGAAGTGGCTTCCTCTTGAAAAATGATGATAGTGGCATTGCTTTTCCATGGGATTTTTAAAAATCTAAAATAAGACATAACACTTTTTGATTGCATCCTGGAACTCTACCAAAATACCCTAAGAATGGAATTCAGGAGGAGATTAGCCCATGTTCTACTTTATCCAAGGAGGATTAGTTACTGAAGAATGAAATAGCCTTTGTCACATGGTAGTTTCACCTGTAAGCCAGCTGGCTCCATGGCACAGACCCAGAAGAGAGTGTTAGAAGGATGCTTCCTTTTTTTCCCTCCTTTTGTATGCTGTGATTGAAGTTGTCTTTTCTCCCATCCTCAGACTCTACTAGAAACCATGAAGGCAGACACAATGTCATCTTAATGTACTCTGAAAGAAGGGCTTTTTTTAAAGCAACGCACACTAACGCTGCCAGTCTCTAGCCAAACTGCTCCTCACTCACGCTATTCTCCACCTTCCATCCTTGTGCCTTTGTACTGGTCATTCACCATGCCGGCATTGCACTTCCACCTGCCCGTCACCTCAGGAAGTCCTCCTTCTTTCTTTAAGATACAATTCAGACACCATCTTCTACAAGAAGCCTTGCCTGATTTCCCTCAACTGCTAGTAATCTCTCTCTCTCTCTCATGGAAACCTGAACCTAAATACTTTATGTAACTAGAGAACTGTCCTTAGAGTCAGAAAGACATGAGTTCAGATCCTGCTTCTGACATTTAACAGGTTGTGTGACTCTGGACAAGTCACTTAACTCCTTAGCGCTCTAGGCAGTTTTCTAAGACTATAAATTGCAAAGATGGAACAGACCTGCATTTGTAGAGAGAGTTACCTCACCCAAGTATACTAATGAAACCACTGTTCGAGGCCCTAAGTCCAACTTTTCCAGTTATGAAAAATATGCTTAAATTCCCCCCCCCCCATTTTCACACAGCCTCCATTAAAATACTCTTCCTATAAGCAGAGGTAACCCTGAGTTCTCAAAGGCTTTTTTCCCACCTGCAGAGCACAAGTTAAACCAAGCCAAGGAGGTTTATTAAGTACCTACTGTGTGCCAGCCACTATGCTAAGCACTGGGTATATGAAGAAAAGCAAAAAACCAGCTCCTGCTCTCAGGGGGCTCACTGTCTAATGGGAGAGACAACATGCAAACAACTCTGTACCAACGAGCTATGGACAGGAAAAACTGGAGATAATGTCGGAGGAAGGGCACCAAGATTAAGGAGGAAAGACTCTCTGGAAGACCTTCCTGGTCTAGAAAGTCTTTGAGAATGATTCCAATAACAGACTGGGCTGTAGCTCTGCCATTCGACGACCAGCCCCTTTAAGTACTAAGAAGCTCATCAACAGCTTGACCATAGACTGATGGATTTTTCATCCACATTCACTCTTGAAGCTTGGATTCCGAAGGGACTGTAAGCCCTATAACCACACTGATGAAATGATGGCTCCTTGAAGCATTGTTGTAAGCAGCATACATATAGCAGGCAGAATTGCAAAAAATTAGGAGGAAATTTAAGTTGAAAAAAAAATTTAAAGCAACCAAACACACACACACACACACACACACACACACACACACACACACACACATTACAAAAAAAGGTCCCCTTTTCCTCAACATCTTCCTGCCCCCACCTGTAAAAATCAAATGATTGATTTCTTTCTCGGTAAGGGCCAAGGGTGGTATTTATAGCCCCACAGTCAGCAGAATGGAGATAATCTAAGTTCTATTGGTTTTCCTAGCTGAAAGCTATTTTAACGGATGGGGGGGGGAACCCACAAAACTCATCTCCCCTTGATCAATTGTAGAAATGACCAGCAGAGAAATTTACAGAGTATCTTTCAGTTCTAGTGAACACAGCAGAGGCTTAAGACCTTTTGTAAGCTTACTAGTAAAGGATTAATGCAGGGATTGTGCTTAAATGTTCTCAAAAATATTCAAGGTGAGGCAGGATATTTAATAATTTGTCAACTAATTTCATAACCTATAATGTATTTTGTTTTAGATGTTGATGGTGTGTCAGACAGCTTAGGGCAACTTATATTGCAGCAAATTCATCCCAGACTCCACTGTGTTTAAGTCTTGAAGTGCTTAAAAGCGTATATGTTGTAATTGTTTCATACAGCTATTCAGTGTAGAAATGCCATGGTAATTAGTGAGGATATTCATCAGAGTCGGTTTCACTAGAAATTTCCTTGTGTCAAAATCATCTTTAATAGCACGGGGCATGAAGCATGCAATTTTAAGTCATTGTCTTCTTTAAAAAGCTATTGAGTGTGAAATACAAAGGTGGTTATACCAATTAGCCACAGGAGGAGCTTAGATGCTACACCATTTTGAAAAGGTGGGATTTCCCCCCTCCCTCCCTGTTTGGATTATTTCATTCCAATTTACCTGAGTTATATTTCAGACAGTCATTTTTCAGAGCTCAGGTTTATCAGCTTCCCTCAGAAGTCCATTAGAAATCAAGGGTTGAACTTTGCCCTGTGATTATTTGTTTCCTTACTGGATACTCCAAAATGCATTTTCCCAAGATCAAGTAAGGAGACCTTTCTGTATTTTGGATTTCCACTCAGGGCCAGCACCCCATTCTCTTTGTCATTGAAATCTAGGAGGTAGACTGATCCACTAGATTTTAACTGAAAACATTTATTTGAAGGAACTTTAATTTACTAATAAAAAAAATTCTGTCTTCTGTTCAGAATATTTTGAATGGTTGAAAATAATGTTAACTGTCAACATAGTGTATTTTTTTGAAAAAAGCTAAAATAGTATTTGTGCTATTTTAGAAAATGAACCCAGATAATAAATTAAATGTTGCCTGTCCTGGATATCAGTTTAAAAAAAACTGCTATGGACGGTGAAATATTTAAGTAATATTAAGGAAATAGGACCTTCTTTCCAATACTTGCATTAAGTACACACATCTGGATGGCTAATAATGTTCTTTGTTGTTACTGTTTTTTGTAACCAGGTGTCTTATTAAGGATTTTGAAAAGCGCCCATCTGTCACACATCTCCTAGAGCACCCATTTATTAAAGAAACCCATGGTAAGGATTTGGCTTTGCAGAAACAGTTGGCTAAGCTTCTTCAAGACCAGAAACCATATCGAAGCTCTGTTGTCAAATCCAGGTAATGTGCCCTACATTTTCCTACAGCCACTCTCTGATTATTCCTAAAACATCCTTTCAAATGTCTTCATTTGCTAGCCATTATGACCAGTAATTATTATATCTCTGCATTTTCAAGAGCTTTATTTACATTTAGTTAAGTGCTCCAAGCTCTGGGAATGAATGCAGGGCTTTCCATTTGTGCTTTTACAGCTAGTTTCATTCAATCAGAGCTGAAATCTCATCTTGTTCTGGTGGCCATTCAACTCTTTTTATATTTATTCAATGCATAAAAGTATCGCCAGTAAAGGCAACTATAGGAAATAAGTAACTGGTAGATCCTGTGAAAAACTTTCTTTGGGTGAGTGCTAAATTACAAATATGACTGTACATGGAAAAATAATTTGGGAAAGATTAAAAACTGAAAGGAGCGCTTTTTCTGTAGTATGGTCAAAGGTTGTTTTCTGCTTAATTAAACATGCCCAAGAGACAATTTAATATTTCAGATAAGTCACATAATCCTTGGTCCTATCCTTTAAAAAATTTTAACCAAGTTTCTTCCTTTTTTTTTAAAGATAAAGTTTAAAATGAAGGTTCATTTCATTCAAGATCGCTTAAAGAGTGTTGGTTGCTAAGAAATAGTTCTCTGGTTTCTGTCCAGGAGGTGGCAGAATTTCTCTTTTAAAAAAAATGAATTTAAATGCTAATGAAGATTCCTTCCTCAACAATCATTTGGTGATGTACAATTTGCTTGGACACAGATAAGCTTCAGTCCATTTTTATTAAAACAACACTTGAAATAATGTTGATGAAGAAAATTAAATGTCATGATTCGTAAGTCATGGAAATATATGCTTATTCTATAAGAACTTTCCTGATTATAAGCAGAATACTCCAAATATTTCTGTGAGGCTAGGAATGCTAAGCCAGGGAGAAGTATAGTTTCAGTGTGAATGTATCCTGCTGATTTCTCTTCTCCTGCTACAATAGTAGCAACTTCCTGCTCTGTACCATTTTGGCCTTCCCCAATTTTTTCATCCTCTCCCTCTGCATTCTTTTAAAGAATTGACTTACCATATAGTGAAACCAGAGAATTTCTACTGGTTTAGTGTCCTAAGAATACCAAATGAGTCCCATTTGGCTTCATTTCTCTACTTCCTCCCCCCTCCCCCTTTTTGGTTTCCTTGTCTTGCCCAGAAAGCTACTTTTAAATAATCCAAGGCAGGTTAGCCACTTCCTTCTAGGTTATATTTTGAAGGCTGGCAGAGAAAATTTCCCAGACTTCCTTGACAAGGTCATTCAACTCTGCTATTTGTCGCTTTCCCTCTCATGCCTGACAGCTGTCTCTTCAGATACAGTCTTTTTCTTTATTATCTCTACAAAAATAGCTACCAGCTTGGCTTCCATTACCTGAGAAAATCTGTCCTTCACTCTCCCTCAGTGCTTCTAATTCCTATTGTAATTCTTGTGCTACTTTGCCAAAACCTGAGTTTTTCTTTTCTTTTCTTTCCTCACAGAGAAAAGAGAGGCTTAGCCATAGACTCAGGAATCTTTGATCCCACTTAGAAAGTTGAAGTTTCTTTGGACAGAGAGATCTTTATTGATATCACTTATAGGGATAGGCATAGGGATAGGGACTATATCTGCGATTTCACTGATGTAAGGAAGTCCTGGATAAAGAAACTCTTTGTACCAATAGAGGTTGATCCCTTCTCTGCACCTTATACACTACCTTAGAGAGTTGTCTCCAGAGCAATGAGAAGTTAAATAATTTGCCCAAGGTCATATAGTAGGAATGTGTCAGACCAGGACTTGAACTCAGTTCTTCCTACTGTGGGCCCAGCCCCCTATCATCATGCTGTCTCCCAAGATGATTTATAATACTAGTAGATGACATTTACATAATGCTTTAAGGTTTGTAAAGTACTTTGCATACAACACCTCATTAGAGTATCACAGCTCTTCTAAGTACTGTTAGCCCCATTTTGCGACTGAAGAAACAGCAAGTGTTAGAGGCAGGATTTGAACCCAAGACTCCAAGTCCAACATTCTGTCCACTACCTATGAAGTTTATGTACAACACACAGTAATTTGCAAAATGCTATAATGTACACAATCTCATTTAATTCTCTCTCTCTCTCTCTCTCTCTCTCTCTCTCTCTCTCTCTCTCTCACACACACACACACACACACACACACACACACACACACACACCCTTTGAAATGGACAGGGCTGGTATTGTTAGACCCATTCTACTGGATTAGAGAATTGAGTCTTGGCATGATTAAGTGATTTGCCCAAAGTTACCTTTCTAGGGAGTAGTGAAAAAGAGATTAGAACCCACCGACAGTTTCCATCTGTTGGTATTGACATCGTAGGATTTGGGGCTTGCTTTCAGTATATATTTCTAGAATTTCATTTGAATGCCTAACACCTATTTACTAGCCTAGAGTGACAATGTTTATAATCTTTTTAAAATTATTTTTACAAAGTGTAATAATGCTGTGGCATGAAGGGTCAAATTTATCTTTCAATATTCTCACCCAAAGACCTGGTAGCCTTTGTGTATTGAATAGCCCCACTATACCTTTAAACTCGTAAAAATGATTGGATTAAGAGCTAGAAGGGACCCTAGAGATTATAGAGCAATGTGGGACACTGGAAAGAGCACTTACTTTGGAGTCAGAGGATCTGAGTTTGAATCTTGCCTCTGTTACTACCTGTGTAACCTTGGCAAGTCAGTTGCTCCCTTGGGCCTCAGTTTCCTCATCTGTAAAATGGACTAGACAGTCTTTGTGGTCCCTTCTACCTCCAAATCTAGGAACTCCCTCATTTTATAGATGAGAAAACTGAAGCTAAGAAAAGTAAAGAGATTCATCCAAGGTCACACAGTAAACCAGTGGCAGAGATAGTTTTGGTGCCCAGCTTTCCTAACTCCCAGGTTTATGTTCTTTTGCAGGTATCCTGGCTATAATACACCTAAAGAAAATTTATTAACACACACACACACACACACACACACACACACACCCCTTTTGGCAGAACTCCTGGCCATGAGTCCTAGATCATTGCTTGGTTAGCTCCTTCTGTCTTCTGATCTAATGAAGTTTCCACGTTGTCTTGAATTACCTATCACCATTTACAGCCATTTCTTTGTTTTTGCAAAAGGAAGTAGGAGCTCCTCCTAAAGTAGTCAATGATTACCTCTTTTTGCACAAAGTGACCCTGGGAAAGTCACTTAACCCTGTTTACCTCAGTTTTCTCATCTGTAAAATGAGCTGGAGAAGAAGCGGAAAGCCACTCCAGTATCTTTGCCAAGAAAACTCCAAATGGGGTCATGGAGTGTCAGACACAACTGAAATGACTAAACAATAATAATTCTATTTGTATTAAATATCTCCCCAAATAAAAGGGATCTTTAGGACTACATTGCATAGTACAAGTCTATTATTTAGAGCCCAAGATACTAGGGAGATTTTATTGTTTGTTGTTGTTTAGACTTCTAATCTGAATCTATTCATATAATATAACTATGTGATCAAATAGTATGACCAATTCAACCTAGCCCAGGTATCCTTTCAATCTTCTTAGAAGGGAGCTGAGTGTCTATATTCTAGCCATTCAAGAACTGAAAAATCACTCTACTTTCTCCTTTTTTTTAATTAGACCCTGGTAAGTAAGCACATTACTAGAATCTGGCAAGAATAACAACTAGAAAATTGCTACTAACCCCCACTCCCAATCCAATCCAAAAAACATTTATTAAGCACCTGCTAAACACAAGGCAACATGTTAAGCACCAGGGCTATAAAGACAAAATGAAGATAAAATCCTTTCTCTCAAAGAGTTTTCACTTTATAGAGAAGATATGACTTGAAAAAAAATAAATGAGACAGTAATACCTTAAAGATGGAGAAAGGTACCAACTAGGAGAGAAGTATCAGGAAAGTCTTCCTCTAGTAGATGGTACCTGAGCTGTACCTTGAAGGAAGTTATGGACTCTTAAGATACAAAGATGAGGAAGGAGTGCATTCCATGAATACGTGATAGCCTGTGCAAAGGTGGAGATAGGAGATGATATTAAAAGTTCCAGGTATAGCACATAGACCAGTTTGACTAGAATAGGTAGTATATAAAGGAGAAATACTGTGAAGTGAATAGAAAGGAAATAGAGACTATGAAGGGTTATCCTAGAGATCATAGGATACCAGGGGTTCTTGAACAGAGAAGTTGTGTGGTCAGATTCATGCTTTAAGAAAATTATTTTCTCAAAAGCAAAGAGAAACTAGAAGTCAAAAGACCTAATAGAAGGCTGTTGATATAATACAGAAGAGAGTTGATGAAGCATTAACTAGGGTGGTGGCTGTATGAGTTGGCAGGAGATAAAGATGCAAAATATGTTATGGAGGTAGAATCAATGACTTGGCAATTGATTGAATGTGGTTGGTGTAGGAGAGGGAAAAGTTGAATATGACTCCAAGTTTATAAATTCAGTTGACTAAAAAGATGGTGGTGCCCTCAAAAAAAAAAAAAAGAAGTTTATAGGAAGGAAGAGTTTAGTGTGGAAAGTAATAAGTTCCATTTCAGATATGTTGAGTTGTAGGTGCTGATGGGACATCCACTTGGACTTATCTGGAGAGCAGTCAGTGATACAGGACTGGAGACTGGGGTAGATATATAGATCTAGAAGTCATTTACACAGAGGCCCAGGTGATAATTAAATCCATGGCAGATGATGAGGTTACTAAGAAAAGAGTATGGTGAAAGAAGAAAAGAGAGCCCATGCTAGAGTGCTCTGGGGCACCCATGGTTGGAGGACAAGAAATAGATGACAATTGAGCAAAGAATACTGAAAAGGAATTGTCAGACACATAAGAAGAAAAGTTGGAGGTGACAGGGTCATGAACACCTAGGGAGAAGAAAGTACCTGGGAGGAAGATGAGCCACCAGTGTCAAATGCTGCAGAGAACTCAAGAAGGATGATCTCTTGAGAAGAGGTCATCAGCTTTAGCAATTAAGAG